CATAAATTCGTTGCTACGCAACTTCATTATATCTTCCCTTCGCCTAAAGGCGAGGGATTTTATATCCCCGAAGGGGACATTAATATTATTAATAGCAAAATATAATCTAAAGCTTGCCTAAAAATTGTCTAAAGCTTCGTAGTAGCAGTTGTAGTTAATGTGTTTACTTTGCAATCTTTTATATTTTATGATATTGGGATTAATGCTAGAAAAATTACATGATATGCTAATAATAGGTTAAATCTATGCCTGAGCTACCTGAAGTTGAAACATTAAAGCGCTCTTTAGAATCGAAGTTAGTTAATTATACTATAGAGAGGTTCGAAAAAACGCGTGATAGTATACGTTATAGATTGAGTCAGCAGCTAGAAGAGAACGTAAACGCTGCGCAAATTATAATGCTACGGCGAAGAGCAAAATATCTAATAATAGATTTAAGTAATGCTTATTCGATCATTATTCATTTAGGAATGAGCGGTAGATTAAGAATACAGCCTAATAATTATAAAATACAGAAACATGATCATGTCATTTTTCACTTGAATAATGGACAAAAACTAATTTTTAATGATTCTAGGCGCTTTGGTATGGTTTATGCTTTTCCTACTAACTTTATTGACATACAATTTTTTCATAATTTAGGTATAGAACCCCTCTCTTCTAATTTTTCTCTGCCATATTTCAAAGAGAAATTACTAAGACGTAATATACCAGTAAAAACCCTATTAATGAATAATCAAATTATAGTAGGTATAGGTAATATATATGCTTCTGAGAGTTTATTTATAGCAAAAATACATCCAGGCAAACCTAGTAATACCTTAACGGAGGAGGAAATTAATAGATTAATATTAGCCGTGCAACATGTTTTAACAAAGGCTATCGACGCTAGGGGCACTACACTTAAGGATTTTGTTAACGGAGATAATAAAGCCGGCTATTTTCAACAACAATTACAAGTATATGCAAAACACAAACAGCAATGCCTACATTGTGGTACGATAATAGAAAAAATAAAACAAGCAGGTAGAGCCACTTTCTACTGTCCTAGTTGCCAAAAATAGTTATCCTTACTTTTTAGCGTAATTTTAGAGCAGCAGGATTATCCTCATCTGGACCTGTAGCATTGATAGGTTTTAAAAAGGTTGCTTGAAATTTATAGGATATAGCTTATAATGAGCACAGCAGATATTATGTAGAGAGTAAGAAATATGGCAAGAATTACTACCGAGGACTGTACCGAAAAAGTTAAAGGGGGAAGATTTAAGTTGGTAGCACTAGCAGCGCAACGAACAAAGGATATTCTTTCTGGCAGTAAGATCACGATTGCTAATGATAGAGAAGATAAGGCACCTGTAATAGCATTACGTGAAATTGCGGCAGGTAATATAACAATTTCCTCCTTAAGAGCTGAGTTACTTAATCGTCTTAGGACCAAAAGCAGAATTGAACCAATTGATGATGAAGAAACTACCCCTTCTGCTGAAAATACTGAAGAGAATTTTGATTATTTACCAAGTGGCTCAGACCTATATGTTACTGAAGACTATTCTGATCTAGAAGATCAAATATTTGATGATAATGTTAGTGAAGAAGAACAAAAAAATTAATAACCCTAAGGGCTTGAAGAAATTACCGTGATTATCGGCATTGGTACAGATATAGTGCAGATTCCAAGAATAGCAAAATTATTAAAACTATATGACCAATTCTTTATCAAAAAGATCTTATCCATCAGTGAAATACAGCAATTAACTTCCCTAGATAAGGAGCTGTATAGCAATTATCTTGCCAAAAGATTTGCTGCCAAAGAAGCGGTAAGTAAAGCTTTAGGCAGAGGAATTGGACGTGGAGTAAACTTTACAGATATTTCTATCCTTAATGATGAGATTGGCAAACCATTTGTTAAAATTTTGTCTCCTACAGATTCAGAAAAATTTAATAATTTTCAAATTGATATATCACTAGCTGATGATTATCCAGTGGCTATAGCTTTTGTACTTATTAGTACAAAACTTCCCCTATGACCCTTTCAATATAGAAATTATTATCACGCCTTAGTATAAAAATACTTATATTTTGTTGTGTTTATTACAAATATTTATTAGAATGAGCCATGTTCTAGGTTCTGTGAATATTTCTATGTAATAAACAAATAATACTATGCACCAAGCAAATATTATCTTCATAATTTTATCTTTGTCTCTCACAGGATGCCTTCCAGCTATATTTGTTGGAGCAGCAGGTTCTACTATAATAGCCGCTAAAGATCAAACACTGGCAGAAACAGTGGATGACGTTAAAATATCAACGCAAATTAAAGCTTCCTTCATAAAAAATAATTTTAGAGAATTATATACTAAGATAAAAGTAGAAGTGGCACAAGCTAGAGTGCTACTTACAGGTATTATAGATAATGAAGAGGATGCACTAAAGGCTGTGGAACTCGTATGGGACATTGCAGGAGTAGAAGAAGTAATTAATGAGCTAGTCATTGATAAAAAAAGTGATAAGTTTGATTTAGGACAATATACCCGCGATACTATGATTACTACCCAAATTAAAACTAAAACCTTTCTTAACCGTGACATCAAGTTTGTTAATTATACAATTGTCACGGTTAAGGATGTAGTATATATATTTGGCATGGCAAGATCTGAGGAAGAGTTAGAGAAAGTTAGTGCTATAGCTTCGCAGATTAAGGGAGTCGAAAGAGTTGTATGTCATGCTAAAATCCAAAAAAGTATTGAGGAGCTCAGTAATTAATAATATTAAATGAAAATGGTATATATTAGGGCTATTTTATTATTAATATTTTCTATCGGTCTCACTGCTTGTTCAACAGGGAAAAAAACTAGTTGTTATAAAGAATTATCTAAAGAAGATCCTAAGAATATTCATTATAAAGGCCATTATAAAATTGGGAAAAAATATAGTATAAAAGGAAAAACTTATAAACCTACAGTGGATACAAATTACGATGAAGTGGGTATAGCATCATGGTATGGGGCCAATGATGGGTTTCATGGAAAGAAAACTGCAAATGGCGACAGGTATAATAAGCATTTATTAACTGCTGCTCACACTAGTCTTCCCTTACCTAGTTTAATTAAAGTAACTAATTTAAGTAACCGCAAATCTTTAATAGTAATGGTAAATGATAGAGGACCGTTCTGTAAAAATCGCATTATAGACGTTTCAGAAAAAGCGGCTGAAATTTTAGGGTTTAAAAGAAGTGGGCTAGCGAAAGTAAGAATTCAATATATGCATAAAGAAACAAAAGAATTTTTACAAAACATCGCCTTGCAGCCTAAAGAAAATTCTCTAGCCAACAAGAATGTAGTCAACGCAAAATGCAGCGTTAATTGCCATATTAAATTAGTAAACTTAAAATATAAATTTGCATATGCTCCTTAGGCTCCTACATTCTATAACACTATATTAATCAATAATTCTATAAAATTCTTCATTAACGCTAATATTCTCCTTTGTAAATAAAATACGGTATATAGATGATTGTTCCAGGTAAATATAAGTTTAACACTACACAATATCTTGAATCTTATGAAAAAATGTTATTATTGAGAAGATTTGAAGAAAAATGTGGTCAATTGTACGGTATGGGGTTAATAGGAGGATTTTGCCACTTATATATTGGGCAAGAAGCAGTTATAACTAGCATAGATTTACTAAAACAAACTGGTGATAGTACAATTACTAGCTATAGAGATCATGCGCATATTACCGTGGCCGGTACTGACCCAAAATATGTATTAGCAGAGTTAATGGGTAAAGCAACAGGTTGCTCTAAAGGTAAAGGGGGCTCAATGCATATGTTTGACCTTGACAATAAATTTTATGGAGGGCATGGTATTGTAGGAGCACAAGTTCCTATAGGTACAGGGTTAGCCTTTGCCGAAAAATATCAAAATACTAACAACATTTGTTTCACTTTTTTAGGAGATGGAGCAGTTAACCAAGGGCAAGTATACGAGGCGTTTAATATTGCAGCATTATGGCAATTACCTGTCGTATATATTATTGAAAACAACCAATATTCTATGGGCACATCAGTTGCTAGATCTACTTTTATCACAGATCTGTATAAAAAAGGTGAATCCTTTGGTATTAAGGGATATACAGCAGATGGTATGTCATTGGAATCAATGTATGATTATTCACAACAAGCTGCCGAATTTGTGCGAAGCGGCGGAGGTCCGATAATATTAGAAGTGAATACTTATCGTTATAGAGGTCACTCAATGTCTGACCCTGCTAAATACCGTAGTAAAGAAGAAGTAGAAAATTACAAAGAACAGGATCCTTTATTGCGAGTAAAAAATACTATTCTACTCAATAATTACGCAAGTGAAGAAAAAGTAAAAGAAATTGAGAAAAAGGTAAAAGATATAGTGGCAGGTGCCGTAGAGTTTTCAGAAAGCTCCCCACTACCTGATCCGAAAGAACTGTATACTAATATTTATGTTGATGGGTAAGAATATGTTACAAATAACTGTACGCGAAGCATTGCGTGACGCTATGCAAGAAGAAATGATGAGAGATGAAAAAATCTTTATAATGGGTCTTAGCCGCAGAATTAACGATTTGGTCCATGGCCTGCATTGCAAAATTAAAGGTCATAAATTCCACAATTGGTCGCAGGCCTGCAAA